CACAACCTCTTCGGAGATCCGAAAGGGTTTCTAGGGCGCCTGAAAGGCTATACCTATTGTCAAAAGACAATGAAGAGGGATTCCTTTTGGATAATGATCCAATAAGCTATGATGAGGCAATGTTGGACATTGACTCAGATAAATGGCAAGAAGCTATGCAATCCGAAATAGATTCCATGTATTCAAACAAAGTATGGACTTTGGTTGATCCACCACAGGGTATTGTACCCATAGGTTGTAAATGGGTTTACAAGCGAAAACGTGGTGTAGATGGAGAAGTAAATACTTTTAAAGCAAGACTGGTTGCTAAAGGTTATACTCAAAAACAAGGTGTTGATTATGAGGAAACTTTTTCACCAGTAGCAATGCTTAAATCTATTCGGATATTGCTAGCCATAGCTGCGTATTATGACTACGAGATATGGCAAATGGATGTGAAAACTGCTTTTCTTAATGGAAATATTAAGGAAGACATTTATATGAAACAACCGCAAGGTTTCATATCCAATGGGAGTGAACAAATGGTTTGTAAACTTCAAAGGTCTATTTATGGACTTAAACAAGCTTCGAGGAGTTGGAATATTCGGTTTGATGAAACGATCAAAACGTTTGATTTTCATAAGAATCCGGATGAACCATGTGTTTATAAGAAGGTTAGTGGGAGTGCAGTTACATTTGTTGTTCTATATGTTGATGACATCCTACTCATTGGGAATGATGTAGGGATGTTGCAGTCAACTAGGACATGGTTGTCAAAACAGTTTTCCATGAAAGACTTGGGAGAAGCATCCTTTATCCTAGGGATAAAAATCTATAGGGATAGATTTAAACGGATGATCGGACTATCCCAGTCGACGTACATAAATAAGGTGCTACAACGGTTTAGCATGGAAGAATCCAAACGAGGATATATTCCAATGAGTCATGGGATTTCTCTTTCTAAGACGATGTCTCCAAAGACACCTGAAGAAAGAGAACGGATGAGTCATATACCTTATGCATCAGCTATTGGTAGCATTATGTATGCAATGTTATGTACAAGACCTGATGTGGCTCATGCACTTAGTGTAACGAGCAGATATCAGTCTAATCCAGGTGAAGAACACTGGAAAGCCGTTAAGATGATTCTTAAGTACTTACGAAGGACTAAGGATATCTTTATGGTATACGGCAATGGAGAACTGAAACTAGAAGGCTTTACTGATTCTGGTTTTCAGTCCGATAAAGACGACTATAAATCCATGTCTGGATACTTATTTACTCTGAATGGAGCAGCAGTTAGTTGGAAAAGTTCCAAACAAGAAACAATTGCTGACTCTACGACAGAGGCTGAATATATTGCTGCATCTGATGCTGCAAAAGAAGCTGTTTGGATAAGGAACTTTATCCAAGGGTTGGGTGTAGTACCATCCGTTGTTGATCCAATAATGATTTATTGTGATAACAATGGGGCTATTGCGCAAGCAAAGGAGCCAAGATCTCATCAAAAATCCAAACACATTATGAGGCGATACCATTTGATTAGAGAAATCATTGGTAGAGGCGATGTCGTGATGGAGCGAGTCGACTCAGCAGAAAATATAGCAGACCCCTTAACTAAACCCTTATCACAGAAAGTGTTCGAAGGACATCTTGAGAAGATGGGTCTTAGATACATGAGTGATTGGAACTAGGGCAAGTGGGAGATTGTTAGAGTAGGGTACCCGGCGTTCCAATCTAATTGGACGTATTCTACTTGTAAATACAGTCTATTGGAATTATATTATGAATAAGGCATTTCTTTATCTTAAGAGAAAGCATTTATCTTATAATTGCACTTAAGATAAAATCCCTAGATCACTTATGGTTATAAGGTATGGTTGCGCATAGAGATGGTGATCATGGAACATACCTTGAAAGCCGTGATCTTAAATACAGTTCCAAGTCGATGGATGTTTCGAGATGGGATATCGAATAATCCATAAAAGACTTGCACATAGTTTGTATGCTTGTTGGACAAGAATGTTGCATTCCATCAACATTAGCGTAAGACGTAAGTACATTTATGTGGGTGCTTGTTAGAGAACAAGTTCACTGAACATGACCGTATGAAAATTCTTAATGAAGAATTTATTCAGTCGAATAAGAATTTTCATGTTACAATAGTACATGACTAATCCTAAGACTTGAGGCACAATGGTAACTTTGTGCATATTACATTCTACTTTGATTTATCCTTTTGGTAGCTAGCACTATCGTTTAAAGGGATAAGTTGGGTATTATGTTGATATGTATGGAAGTTTGTTAGTGGCCAATAAAGGATTCGACACTTATGAAGATAAGTGAATTTCCTATGTGTTTCATAGTTATTAATCCAAAGTCCTTGGCCAAGGCAGAGATGAATAGTGATTCATAACCGGGTTAATAAACATGAAATAGAATCATAGTTATTAAGTCAATTTGGGTTTCGACAAAATCATACCCAAGACTTAATCGGGAAATTAGATGTCGAAAGGATTTTACATGTATGGAGTTGTAATCGGAATAGGTTTACTCGCTATTCACTTAATACTAGATTCATGCTACTTGCTAGGTGTTACCATGATATGTGGGTTCATAAATTAAAGGGTTAATTCATGAATAAGAGTTAATAAGATTTAACTCAAATTACAAAGTGTTGTAAACCCACTACTAGTATTAAGGTGAACCTAAAAGGTCACACTAATTATGAACAAAGGTAAAGATTGTATTTCTAATGGTTAGAATTAATTGATAAATATCTAATTTGATTAGATATCAATTAAAGGAATATATTAATCAATAAGATTGATTAATTACATTTTGGATATTACTTTAGTAATTAAGGTAATTACTAAATTAATAAAGTTGAATTTTAAAATAGGATTTTAAATTTCAAAAATCCAAAATAATAATAATATGATTATTATAATATTGGGAAAATGATATAATAATAAAGTCTTGAGAAAGATTCTCAAGATTTATTATCCAATTATTATTTATATCTTTAAATATGATTTAAGGATTAAAATAATAAATATGATTATAATAAAATGGTTGTTGATGGTTGTTTGAACTACTTAACATATCTTATTATTTTCAAAGTCAAAAGTTAGTAAATACTATTTAAATAAAATTTGATTTTATTTAATATTACTAAATGTTGATTATTTTATGCTAAAATGTTTAGTATAAATATATGCAAAATGGTTTTGCATTTAAGTGAAGTTTTTGATCCTAAATTTCTAAGTGTTAGAAATAGAAGAAAGTGTTCTTCATAAAACTTCAAGAAAGAGTTCTTAAAATTCCCAAATAAAATTCATAAATATTCCTATACAAGAAAACCGAGTCTTTTCTACTAGCGAAGGAAAGTCGTCGGAACCGGGCTTCATAGGGTGGATACGTTTAGAGGGAAGACACTTGGATTCCTCTAGCGAGTAACCTCAAGTCGTTGAAGTTACAACCGGGAACCGATTCCCTCATCCATCATCAATAGTGAAAGAGTTCAAGAAATTCGGTAAATTTTTTTACTAGTATTTACTTTATAGTAACAAATCAAAATTTGTATATGATGCATGTTTTAAAGATGACGATCAGTTAATTCGCAATTAGTATGTACGGGTGTTGTATTTATACGATAAATACTTACTTTAAAAATTTTAAATTCCGCTGCGTACAGCCCGTACTGTACTATCGAACCCAACACCTATTGCTCAGATCGTTGAAAGCACATATCCAATGTATAAAGAGACACCCGACGATCCAAGTTATTTGAAGAATAGGGCTATATTAGCGCCGACGTTGGATGTGGTCGAGTCTATCAATGAGTACATGACATCATTGAATTTGTTGGATGGTCGTATGTACTTGAGCTCTGACAGTACATGCAAATCGGATTATAATAATTATTTTTTGTCTTATCTACATACGCCTGAATTTTTGAATAGTATCAAGTATTCCGGAATACCGAACCATGAGTTGTATTTGAAGATTGGAACTCCAGTCATGTTGCGGAACATGGATCATTCTATGGGTTTTGTAATGAGACACAATTGTTATGACAAAGCTATCCACTCACGTTCTTGAGTGTAAGATACTCACAGGAGATCATGCTGGTGATAATGTGTTGATTCCAAGAATGGTCATAACTCCTTCTGATGTTAGAATTCCTTTCAAGTTCCAGCGGCGATAGTTTCCCATTATGTTTTCTTACGCCATGACTACAAACAAGAGCCAGGGACAATCCTTATCTCATATTGACTTATTTCTTAAGAAACCAATATTCAGTCATTGTCAATTATATGTTGCTATCTCCCGTGTCACTAACCGAAAAGGTTTAAAAATCTTAATTTGTGGCGAAGATGACGTGCCAAATAATCAAACCAATAATGTTATATATAGGGAAGTGTTCAATAATATATGATCTTTTCAGTTTAATTATATGTTTATATGTCTATTCTTATGATCATGATCATTGCATTATTACACAATTTATATTCAAAATTGTCTTTTAAAAAGCGTATAGATAATAATATCCCCGTGCATCGCACGGGTGATTACTAGTTTTATCAAATACTTTTATTATATTATACTAGTTAGTTATCAATCATAATTCTCAAGTCACAAACTATGAGCTTGAATTTAACTTGTCATCAATAGAGATTTTCAAATTGTCATCAATAGAGACTTTCAGCTAAATCTACCAAGCTTGAATTTTAACTTGTAAACCATCAAATTATCAATTATCTTTATCAACCAGATTTTCAGCTAAATAATCTACCAAACATGTTCCGATAAAAAACCACTTTATTGAGTAATATTTGTCAAGAAAATGCAAGGGTGACTTTGTCATCAGTATATTTGTTATTTGAAGAAAATATTTAAGTTTCTATGTAATATGGGCAAACCTAAAAGCACTATTTTTATAACAAAATGGAAGCCTAAGTAGATTTCTGCAGATGACATTTTATTCTGATAGCACAAAAGTTGAAGCAATGGAGAAACTAGCCAGCAAAGCACAAGACATCAATAAACTGCATAATAAAAGTTCTTTCTGAAGAGTCTACAGATACAAAAACAACATAGACCAAGAACTTTCTACCCGTGTTAATTTCGCAATAGCACCTCATTTTTAATCCGACGACATTCTCATCCTCTAGTCCGAGATTAAGTGATTCCTTTCGTAATAAATCAGTTAAATCCACCTCAAATGCAGCCAACTTCCGAGATTAAGCCGTTATTAATACCTTGAACGGAGTTCAATAGCTTCATCCCTTCTTCCCCCATCTGCTGAACTTCCGATGGCGATAAAATTCGAACACACTTCACACAACCCACAAATTCCCTACAAAATCAGCACACATTTGCTTAAAAAATCTTTATACAGACACAAAACCGTTGTTATGCAGTCTAACGGGTCGAATTTGGTTAGACGATTTTGAACAAAAAATTGCATCTTGTCGTGTGATAACGTCACTAAATAAGCTACTGTGAATAATTGTGCTCATTTTGTTACTATATTGAGGTCTTATAATGTTTGTATATACTTTCACAATTAACTGGATCTAACGGACGACTTACTCCCAAGGATCATCACCAACGAGAAGAACATCATTCTCGAAATCCACATACACGAGCTTCCATCCAGAGCTCAAATCAATGAGAAGTCCCTCCAGACCAAACATGCGCTCGATTTCAGAACGCAGATCATCGTAATTTCCAAAACTCGACACGTCTATGGACCTTCCTACAGATCCAGCCTTTTGAATCTGTCGAAAAAAAGTAAAACATACAAATAAATCATCAA